AGTTATGTTTTAACTTTATGAAAATTACATTTGTATGAGTCATGTTTCAACTTTCTGAAAACTATATTAAAGAGTAGCTAATGGTTCTCTAGGGGCTATTACATGTCATGTCCTGAACTTCACAATTATGAATCTGACTTACCCTTACAACACTCTTATGAGATGGAACATATAAGTATTTACATTTTAGAGACATCGAGGTGTTAATTAATTACTAGCACCAAGGTAACACAGCTATGAAACAACGGAGTCAAGATTTCAACAGAAGCCATCCACTCTACATCAACTGTCTCATCCACTATGCTTTATGACATACATTGAAATTGCAGTAAAGTAAGAAAAAAAGATGGGAAATCAGGAGATGGTCAACTGAGAATGCAAATATAAATATTTGGGGCTATGGGGGGATATTCCGATTCTAAATCTATAATATCTAAAGATGTTCTTACTAAATGGCCCCAACTGAGTGTTAAGACAGAAACAACTGAAGTGTTCAGAATTCCAGAATGTGATAAAATAAACAACCAAGAACACAGAGCTTCTCTTTTCCAAGCCTATATTCTCATGTATCAATAATTTGGTTGTCTGAAAAGATTTGCCCACCTGGAATTTTAAGCCCTCTGGTCTAGTAATTAGTGCAGATGTTCACTGTGATTATTTCTAATAATGACTAAGTAGTAGCAAATCTAAAAATAATGTGAGCTTTCATGTCAAACGAACCTGGATTCAAGTTCTGACTCAGCTACTTCCTAACTGTGTGACCTCGGTTTTCCCACTGTTAAAATCAGGACAGTAGTAGTATGGTATTTCTTAGGGACTCTGGGATGATTAAAGGGACAACATCTTTATAAAGGTCACAGTAGAACGTTAGGATTTGACAAATATCGAGGGATCTGACAAATATCAAATACTATTTGATTTGACAAATATCAAATACTATTAGTTATAATAAAAACTGTTACTACTCCTATTTATGAAGTACTGATCACACTCCTTGTGCTGAAACAAAGGAGGCTAATTCAATTTCATAGTAGTAGAGTTAGAATTGGCATTCAAAGCAGTTTGATTCTAAAGCTAATTAACCTAATGACTATACTATGAAGTCTTTTATAATGTAATAAGTTATATATATTACAAATCAACCTTTTAAAAATATGGTTTATTGTAATTAAATTTCCAAGATAAATGTCTACCAATGGTTCAATGAAATAAGATTTGGGCCCTACTAGGCCTACATCTAGGATCCAGCAAGAGATTCAACACAGGGGATTCCTCCCCAGTGAACTGGGCACCATCATGTGCATTCTACTGAAGAAAATTAGAAAATCTAATGTTTTTTACACTTTGAAAGTGCATATCATGCAATGAGAGCACAAATTTTAACCTGAGTGTAATTTTAACCACACAAATGCTTAGAATAAAGACTGGGAAGAAATCTGGTAATCACGACAGCATTTTCTAAATAGGTAGGGGTGGAGCTGAATCCACACAATAACGAAATACCGTATTCTGACTCGGTGCCAGAATAGGCAGGAACTGAAGAACAGATTCCCTGAGGGAAAAAGTGACCTGCTCCTTAGAATGGGAGCCCTAAGATCTGTGGCAGGAGGGACAGCCAGCTGGAGACTCCAAGGGGAATTAGTCACTCACTCATTCACTCAACACGCGTTGACTGCTGCAGGCTCTGTGCCGTCTCACGGGGAGAGACGGAAAGGAGCCAGCTCCTGTCTCAGAGAGACAGGAGAGAGCTGTGGGGTGAGAGAGCTTACCCCACACAGACACCCACTCTTCAGAACTAAGCTCTAAAGGGCTTGACCACCAAAAGGAAGGAATGCTTTCCTCCAGGTCCCTTGGAGCCCATTGAAGAAGGGCCATTGAAGCCCCATCCCTGACTCAGGCGGCTTCCAGAACCTCCCCTGGCTCAAGGAGGGTTGCTGGACAGGTAAAGCCTGAAAACTGAGGTAGGAAGTAAACACATTACCAAAAACATGAATATACTGTAGTCTCATATCCTGGGAAATTATCGCTATAAATATAACAACACAGGCTTGTAACATAATGCCAGGGTACCTATATGGACCCAAGAGACAGAATTAGCATACACACATGTCTGTCCCCTTGTCTGTGCACTAAGTAATGTGCATATTGCTTATTTTTTTCTGAAGCCTGAATGGGAAATGTTGTTTTTAACAGATTTAATCAATATACCAACCTACATTAAAAAAAATAAATAAACCCACACAATAAATAAAAAGCAAAAGGCCAGTGAATAGCCAACAGTGCAGCTTAACAGCCATTCCAGCATAAAACTGTCTGAAAAGGCACTTCGCACACCACTGTCTGCACAATCCACAGTGGCTTGCTATTGATTTGTTGTAAGCAAAGAACATCTATTATCACATGCCAGTATGAACCAAGCAATTTCTCCAACAAGGAGCCCACACTGTACATCGAGCAATGTAGTGTGGGCACCTGGCTGCTGAAGGTGGACTGAGAACCCACATTTATTCCCATCTTTTCACCCCACAAAACCATTATAAACATCCAGTCTATAAATCCAAGAACTTGACGTGTGGACTCACATGCCACAGACTGTCCCACATTCACTTCTCCAGGGCACAGAAGCAATAACGAGATTCCAAAATTATACTACTCAAAACAGTTGTCCTGAACACGCCTAAAGGTAATAGCTGTGAAGTGTTTAAAATCGCTATTTTCAAAAAGTCCTCCCAAATGATAACTTTTTTGCATATGTGTGGGAATGTGCGAGTGGGCTGGGTTTGCTGAGACCTTGTGTGGAGTCGTGAAGAGGAGAGGAACTCAACAATAGGTTGCCAGTGGGGTTGGCATTGCCATTCAATACAGGAAACGGATCCTGGATTCACCTGATGGTATAAGGTCTACAACATACTGAAATTGCTCAGACTCTCTGTCCTTATTTAAAATACCAATAAGAACCCAATATCCAAAAGGAATCTCCTTACAAGGACCCTTATAAAAGGTTTCCTTCCTTTTGTTGCTCTTAAAATGTAACCCCTACAACATGTCACTAAGTGGTATGCAGGTGGTGCTCAGCCTCGGGGAAATCAGCCTCCCTCTGCTTTGAAGTTTTCAGAACTGAGGATATTCTTTGGAGGATGTTACTTGTGTGTCCTTTCATGGATCTTACTGGACCCTGCATGAACTCAAAATTGCTTCTGGGATGACTTTGCCCATTGTAGTTCCAAACCAGCCTGAAACATCACCTAATGAAACTCCCTATGATTTTACCATTACATGAAATGGTGGAAAGTCATGTCTTAAAACTAGATAAGACAATTAATAAGTCAATTATACTTGAGTTTCCAACCAGATGATTTTTGTTTTCTATCCAATACCAGGAAATCGCTCTCATATAAGGTAACCAGCTACAGAGAATACATGCTTTCACAACCACTTATATCAGTTTTACAGCTATCTTTGTAAGAATGAACAAGAAATTTACCCCACTGGCTCCATCAACCCACCATGCTTTCACAAAGAATGACGGAATAAAGTTAAAACCATGCAGGCTTGGTCTATTCATACTAAACAAGACACAATTTTTAAATGTAAACTCTACTCATGGAGGCCGCATCTATGTGACAGCACCTTGAAATTGTCAAACAAATGCCAAACCTAGCAAACAGGCAAGAACAAAACAAAGGTTATAAGTGATAGAACCAATTCTAGAAGAAGTGAGCACGACTCTAAAATGCAGACATTTCTTTAGAAACTTGCAAGTCATGTCCAGATATAATTAACTTTTCTACATACGATGAACTGAGCACTTTATTTTGAAAAATACCATAGTCTAGCCATTTCCCTTTTGAACAAGTTTCAATTCTTGGATATGCAATAATAAACAGAGATGTTTTCATATCTATTAATTGAGGATCAATCTGCTGTCCCGAGAAACTGCTCAAGGAAAATGAAAGTATTCAAACATTTTCCCCCGCAAAAACAACTTTAGCCATTAGATTGAATTTCTAACCAATTCACATGGTCTTATGACAGTATTTTAAGGAATATAATTTATTTTAGACATATGCAACATTCTACAAAACACGCTATTCCCAAGAATTGGGTAAAGGCCAGATTTCCTTGATGTCACTCCACTTACAATGTATGGCCCATTTCTGTTATTTAGGTCAAAGGCAGGCCACCTGTGACATGCATGTTACCAAAGCAGCTATTAAACACCACCTTTGTGCTCTCTCACAGAAGATGCAAAATCTCTGCCTTTCTCTATATTCCTTCTCTTTCATCCTTCTTCAACTTCTAGCCACTCATTTTACTCTTTCTTCTTTCTTTGCAACTTTTCCCACGGCTTTTGCCAATGATAAGCATATGAGCCTTTTTCAAATCTGCTGGTGACACTGAGGGTTAATACTCAACTCCTGATGCAAACAAAGCTACCATGATTTGCTAACAAAGGTAGGCACACAGAGTATTAGATAGGTATCATCATCTTGAAGTTGTTTGTGGAGCAGCAAATTACAACTCTAAGGATCCAGGTTGATACAGAAAATAATAACCTATGACGTAAAGAATTGAGACTGATTTTCTTAGGTGGAACAAACTGGCTCTGATGCTAGTTCCCAAAGTGAAGTTACCCCAAATACTTTAATACAGAGACATTCGTTGTAACAATTTTAAGCAACCTACCATTTTGATATATTTGGTTGGGTTTCATTAAAAGTTTACATCTGAACTTCATAGTTACATCACATATATCTGAATTCCATATATTCCCCACATTCTGCTATTAAAATGTACTTGCTCACATATCCATATAGCCATCCAGTCACAGAAGCCCTGGTCCACTCTCCAAGAGGAGAATAGGCAGGTAGATTATTTTAATGATTTGGGCTCAGAAGTCCTTTACAATAAAAAATTCAACTGCATTGCTTATAGAATAAAGTTCAAAATACATTACCCTAAACCTGGATGTCTTAGAAACATTTTTGAAGGATGAGAAGCTATTGCCACAAAAGAACGCTGAGCTTTCCCAATCCTGGTTCTGGCACTTCATCACACACCGACAAACTGTTCAGGTCAGATAACGCGATAATCCTCATCCCAGACTGAGGCACAATCTTTTCTTGACAAAATCAGAAACAATCATAGAAAACTGGAAAGAATCCTGGTTGATTTTTAGCAGAAAACAATGCCTAGCCTGGGTGGCAGAAAGGAACTTTTCAGTGAGCAAAAAATGCATACATACCTTCTGAAGATTGTGCCTATTCACCGCAGTTAGCGTAACTTACCTTTCTGTCTTTCCTTTGTGCAGTCTCTTCCTGACTGTGGTTTACTGGGAGTGGTATGTATGTGTGATATGGAATAAACTTGTGAGGATAAAGAAGCATTATGCTACCACTTAGGAAATAAGCCTCCCATGCAGACAAATTGGAGGGAAAAGAAAGAGCATATACAACAATTCCTCAGGGACTCTGGATGAGTCCAATCACTGCCTGTTTCAGAGTGGAACAGTATTTCCAAATCATAAATATGGAAACAGGACTTTCAATAAAAATAATACCAAATAACTGGAAAGAGCCATCTAATGCCAAAGCCTTCTGCAAACAGTGTGTCCTTTGCATTATAAATCCAGAGGCAAATGCTTACACCTAGATCAAGGGGGTTCAAAGAATTTTCTCTTTACATTTCCAGATTCCCCACTTGTTTCTCCTTAGTGTATCTTAAGAGACTGACAGGGTACATAAGGAAAAAAGGCCTATGAAAAAAATGGAAAACAGGACAGGAGACAACTACACACGTGAAAAATGTTGAGAAATAAGGAATCAAGGAAAACCAAATCGACATAACAGAGATAGCATTGTAACTGGCGACTGCTCCCACTTGTACAAACTGTAATGTAACTTTAGTATTTGCTCAGATAACATTATGCATCTTTTTGATAAAACCAACTGATGACAACTATGAGTTCAGGTTATAAAATAAACTCCTACCATGAAGGCTGCATTTAGAAAATGAGAAGGTCAGCAGGACCCACTAAGTCAGGGCTTTTCAACAAATCACTTTGCAACAGGTATTCAGAGATTTCAAGTGTTTGCTCATTTCTAAAGGGGGCCACGTTAGGAGGACGTGGAGACACAGGCTATAGATTCCCACAGAACTGAACTCTCTCCACCGTCAGTGCTAGAATCACCTTCATGAAATCAGTCTTCTAGAATTAAAACAGCTGATGTACCCGAAGCATCACTCGTGGACAAAAATAACAACTGGCTCTCTTCCAGTATGAAGCAAATACACAGATACATACATATAAACATACTCACAAAATAGAAATATATATATATAAACAGAATGACTATGTATATATAAACTAAACAGATATCAATAAATTTAGCCAGAGGGAATCTCTGCCTACATTTGAAAGACCCTTGAGAATGCATTGAACATTTCTAGTTGGAAAAAATAATAAACTCTCTTAATGTCTTCATCATTTGGAAGGCCTAAGAAATTCTCTAAACTCAGACTTTTTGAAAAAATAGCTACATTCCTTAAATGTCCTCCAAGTTCTAGGCAATGTTAAGTGGGAGAGTCTCAAAATTGTTATCCAGATGATTTAATTAATGGAAAACTGAACTCCTTAGAACAAAAATATTGTCATAATTGTTTTGTTTGTCAAAGGTCATCTAATCTAAAGAAAACAGAGAGTAAGTAAATGGAAAAACATCTAGTATTGTTGAACGAGAAATGTCGCTTTGCCATTAGACCATTAGTCCTTTATTTTCCCAGTTTCTGGATGAGAAATTGCTTATGAATCTTTCAGAAGAAGAGCCATCCTTTTACATAATGTCCCTTATGGTTTCTCCAGACCTCTGAACTCTTTGAAAATATCCCAAGCATGAAAAGGTTGTACTCACGATCATTGCACTGGTTTCCAGAATAGGAGGTCATGGAACAGTCGCAGGTGAAGCCTTCCCACTGCTGCATACAGACCCCCTGGTTGGCGCATGAATCCTCCTGGCAGGTGGTGCTTGGTCCTAGTAATTCATAAGAAGAGCAGGAAAGAAGGAAAAAGGAGCGAGAGAAAAACGTGTTAAAATTAATCAAATTCAAAACAATCACTTGAATTTACTATTCTCATGCCCCCAAACATTCAAAGACACAACCGCCAAAAATGTCAACTCTATATCATGCAAGAAGAATTCACTACAAAAGACAACAGAAATACACACTTAGCCACAAACTATCAACAGTTACACACAGAAGGGAGAGGGCTGAACACACTGTTCCCTTTTTGGCAGACTTTGCAAAAGAGCTTCATCTCTACCATTCAAGTAGAAAGATATCTCACTTGGAGCATGGTCTTCCTAAATGAATAATGCTAAAGCAGAAAAATGCATTCCCATGATTCTTGTGAATTAAGGCACAAAAGTTCTTACAGTCTACTTTGTGACACTAGAAAGATGTGTGAGGATAACGAGGAGGAGAAGAAGGAGGGTAAAGCAGCCACAGCAAGTACTGTTGTTTTGTAGGTGATAAGCACTGGGTGATAAGCACTGGGTGATAAGCACTTTGTCTAGCTTATCTCATGAAGCTCGCCAGTGACCCTAAAACGTAAGGAATTATGATTACCTCTGTACCACAGATTTTAAAAACTAAGCTCACAGAACTAAAATAATTTACCCAAGGTCACACATTGGATAATTAAAGGACCCTGATGTCCAACTTAGGTAAACTAACTCTGAGACTAACTACCTCAGCGGTTCTTAAAGCATAGTTTCAGACCAGATCACCTGGGAAGTTGTTAGGAATGCAAATTACTGGGCCACCCTATACCTACTGAATTAGAAACAACTCTGGGTGGGGGGGAGGGAGAAATCTGTGTTTGCAGAAGCTTCTAGGACTTTATGATGTAGACTAATGTTTGAGAACCAGTGCGCTGCACCACACTGCTGCTATAGGTTTACAGAAGAATGTATTCAAACAGAGTGTGCATATACCAGAGGGTGTATCTGAGGTATAGGAAGAAAATATTAGAAATTATGTTCATTTTAGGTAGGTAAGTATACCTACCTTGGGGACATTCTCAAAACCTTCTGCAGATATGAGTGAGCAACTGAAAAAGTTTGGTGATCTCTGCCTTACAGACTGCCATCTTTCCTAGGTCATCCTGGGACCTCTTTTACCATTCTCTTTTTCACTTCTGTCTTCTGCCTTTATCTTGGCATTAAAGATAAACCTACACCTTTGGAATTATCTAAGCCAACAGGAAATATCTTAATATTCAGGATAACTCCATGAATTTCCCAGAAAGCCTCAGCAAAGGAGGTGGGCCCTTTGACTCATCAAATGTAGTAGTCAGGATCTGATGCACAAAAGTACTTGACACAGTAAAAATATATCCATTGCAGTAAGTGCATATTCCACAGTTTCCAGGCTAAGCCTCACACAGGCACAGAACATTGAACTATAAGCCTATTGGGCCCTAAGGATGCATATTCAAAAGAGATGCATGACTGCGAAGGGGCTGTCTTCTGGGTGGCAAGACATTTTGTATTTATTCATGAAAGGTAGAAGCAGCACAGACCATCACTCCTAACACAAAGCTGTTAGGATATCACATAAGAAACTTAAAGACAATTACTACCACTGGGGGAGCAGCATAGCTGCTGGCTTTCTGCAGCTGCTATATGCCATGTGGTTCCCCCATGTGGAGATGAAAGGAGGTTCCTGGTCATGTTCTCAGTGGGTCTTAAACTTGAGCATTGTGTAGTACAAGGCTCATCAACAATGGCAAATCACAACAGCTTCTTTCAAAGGACAAAAGCTTCTGAGAAGTCCATGGGGCTCCCTGACCAAACAGCTCTCACCAGACAATGGGCTAGTAATTCAACTGTGCTCAAGAATCAGAAACACCTGGAAAGCTTTCCCTTGAAAGGCAGCAGAACAGCAAAAACTTTGGGAAAACACTCATTCTTTGCATGTTCACTGAATCTGAAGACAAGAGTTTTTCCCATGTCTTTCTCTTCCTCTTTAGCCAAATTTTAACCATTTTCTAAGGACCAGCTAAAATGCTTCCTGGATATCAAACATTCCCCAGTAACTTCAGACAACAATTCTCCCACTTCCTAGTGGCCACGGCACATATTATCCGCCTCACTAACATTTATATATGATAATATTTAACACTTTATTACACATGGCAGTGTACTCTGCTTACATAATCCTCTAATTCTTTCACATTATTTTACTATTTGTCCCAAAAAGAGTGAATGCTGCCTACAGTTAGAAAGCATGTACTATGCTTTGGTTATGTCCCTGCTGTACCAAGCACGTACTATGCTTTGGTTATGTCCTATGCTGTGCCAGATGCAGAGAAAGTGTTCCAGTAAATGTGGAGCTGATCTGAACTGCAGCCCCCAGATTTGCCAATATCTCATACTTCTAAAACCTGGGCATGGGAGAATGGTTCTTTGCAAAGCAAGCAATCAGTCCCGTTTGTCGGAATCCCATACAGAGGGAATTATAGGCCATTTCCAAAGTCCACGGGATTTGTTTCCCACGCATTAAGGGGCGAATGCCATTCAGAATCGCATAACCCTCAAAGACTTGACTACACGGTAATCGTCTAAGAACAAGGGCAGTTTCAGGGTTTCAGTGAAGACCAGGAGAACCTGCAATGACTTCTCATCCATCTGAGCCTGAAATCCTACTTCCTTTCTAAGGTGAGATCCCAGGGCCCCTGCCTCCTCCGCCAGACTCATTTCCTACTACTCACCTCCAGCACACCACGCTCCAGCCATCCCTTCCTCCTTCCAATTCCTCTCTAACACAATGGTGCTCACAGCGTAGGCCTGAGTCAGTCAACAGCACCTGCATCCCCTGGGAGCTTGGGACAAATGCATGTTTTCAGGCTCCACCCAGACCTACTGGCTGGAGGCAGGGCTCAGGAACCTGAGCTGTGACAAGCCCTCTGGGTGGTTCTGAAGCTGCTCCGTTCCAGGACCCCTGCTCTGACACTTCAAGACCATCCCTACCTTCAAGGTCCTTTGCTCTTGCCCAACCCATAGCCTGAAATGTCCTTCCTGCAGATTTTCAAATGACTGGTTCATTTTTTCTTTAAGTTTCAGCTCAAAATGATCTTTCTTCGGACTATCCTATTTAAGGAAGTCCCCATCAGCATTTCATTTACTCTCCAGCCTATTTCCCGCTTTATTTAACTCACAACAATTACATGAACTGTAACTAAGTTATTTATTAAATTCTTTATTGTCTGTCTCATCCTTCTGGAATATGAGTTCCTTGAGGGCAGAAGCCTTGTCTGTTTTGCTCACCTTTTATATCTCTAGTTTCTGATAAAGTATTCAGTGTAAAGTAGGGGCTCAGAAAATATTGTTGAATGAAAGAAAGAACAAGACACTACCATATATAAAATAGATAACTAATAAGGACCTACTGTATAGCACAGGGAACTCTACTCAGTACTCTGTAATGGCCTATATGGGAAAAGAATCTAAAAAAGAGTGGATATATGTGTATGTATAACTGACTCACTTTGCTGTACACGTGAAACTAACACAACATTGTAAATCAACTATACTCTGATAAAATTTTTTTTAAAAAAAGAAAATTCAAAAGATGTTGGGGGCTTCCCTGGTGGCGCAGTGGTTGAGAGTCCGCCTGCCGATGCAGGGGACATGGGTTCGTGCCCCGGTCCGGGAGGATCCCACATGCCGCAGAGCGGCTGGGACCGTGGGCCATGGCCGCTGAGCCTGCGCGTCCGGGGCCTGTGCTCCGCAACAGAAGAGGCCACAGAGGTGAGAGGCCCGCGTACCGCAAAAAAACAAAAACAAAAACAAAAACAAAAACAAAAGACGCTGGAAGAAATTTAAAAAAATAAAATAGAAACAAACTTCTACTTAATAGATGAAATTAAAAAAAAAACAAGAGAATAAAAAAAATAAAGAAATAAAGTCATTCTTTTGTGACTTAAAGCCATGTGGTTTTCCTAACTAATTTATCCATAGAATTGACAAGTATCAACTTATATAAGCAATTTTCTACTTGGAACCAAACATTTTGGGGGTAGTGGTGGTATTTAATTGACCACATTTCCTCTTCTGATTTAACTATTAGACTCATTTAATCTCAGCAGATGTTGGGACAAAGGCTCTTGGGTCCCCAATGCCCAGGGACAGTATGCAATAACTGTGTTGAATGAGTACATGTTTGGACTAGACTCTAAAACACTTTCTAAATGGCAATATAAGCTCCTTTTCTTATTTCAAACTATTTAAGGACATCCTTTCCTGAATAGACTATATCTTATATCTGTATCTATTTCTCATATTCTCATACTGTCTTCAAAGTTGAGAGAGAGAGAGAGAGAGAGAGAGAGAGAGAGAGAGAAGGGAAGGGAAGAGAAGGGAAGGGAAGGAGGGAAGGAGGGAGGGAGAGAGAGAGAGAAGGAAGGAAGGGAGAAGAAAAGAAAGGAAGAAAAAAGGTAAAGAAACATACCAAAATGCTCTGGAAAAAAGGAAAAAGAAAAACTTCAAACAATGTTTCCGACTGCACATCCATTGATATAATTTGATCTTATACGAATCAGACCAAGGATATAACAATAACAAAACAAGGGACCTACCTAGCACTTATCATGTACCAGACAATGTACTAAGCGTGTTTCAGATACTAGTTTATTTAGTCTTCATAAACACATGATGAAGCAATTATAAGTATTAAAGAATCAGAGAAACAGGAACGATTTTCTCATGGAAGACATCCAGAACTTCAAAAACAAAAGAATTTTTTGACTGACGATCAAGTTGGAAGGCAAGGATTTCAGAAAAGTAAAGTAAGTCACAGAACCGTCAGGTGATTTTTTTGCAAGGTCCCACGGGTAACAAGTAGCAGGGTGAGGTCTCAAACCCAAGCGTGCTAACTCTACAACTGATCCACCTAACCTCTGATCCACCTAACGTCTATGGATGTGAATAAACCAGAACCAGAGGGGTGTGTGTGTGTGTGTGTGTGTGTG